CCGTCGCTGCCGTCGCCGCCGCCGCCGCTGCCGCTGCCGTTGCCGCTTGCCGCTGCGAAGCGCTGCGCCGCGCACGGTTCCACCACTGCCGTTCGAGCGAACCGCCGCCGCGTTGCTGGCCCTCTCAGTCGCGACGCGCTCGTCACGGGGTGCAGATCGTACGCCGTTCGTCGCTTCGACACCCTTCGTCGCGCGCAGCACGCGCTTCTCACGCGGACAGTCGCCGCCGTACGTCGCACGGCATTTAACCCGCGATCCGTATTCGTATTCGTACTATTCGTAACGCGCGATTTCGTCGTGGTAACCGCAACGTCGCCGTCGTGATCGTTGTCATCGCGTTTCGACGTGGTTGGTGGTGGGTGGTTGATGGTGAAGTCTGACACTTCCTCTCTCTCTCTCTTTCTCTCCCTCGGACAAAACGTGTCTCATCAATGCGATTGACATTTCGATCGGACTAATACAAGTGTTAGAAACTGTAAGGAAAAAGTAGTGAGAGAAGCTACGGCGAAAGGGAGAGTAAAGATTAAGTGTGCCGCGTGGTGCATCGAAGTAGGGGCGCGATTACTCCCGTTCCCCCCTCCCCCGTCACGGGACTATCCTGATCCCTCGGGAGAGACTCCCCGTCGTGTATGATGCTTCGTTGGGGGAGACAAGGCGAACTCTAACTCTTACGGTAGCGGTGGGAGTGGATTTGGAGAGTGTATTTACTCGAGTATACGATATATTTCCGAGCCACGTTTCGGAGCTAGGCTAAAAAAGATGCTCGACCGCGACGTCCCAACGGGACGATGACGCCCGCGTCGGTTTGCGTCTGACAGATCCGCGCACGTTGGCCACGAGGCGCGCGGATAAAGCTCTCACACTCTCCCCGCGTCACTTCGCGCGGACATCTGGAGGTTTTGCGTGTGGCTGTGCATGGGTGTTTTGCAGATGCGGCCTCGTTGCTGATCCGATCAAGGTGAACGTTGCCGAGAAGCAGAGGCGAGACGCACCACGAGGAGGAGGCTGGAGGAAGAGACGAAAAGGGAACGAAGAGAAGGAACAGTGGAGGAAGCGTAGAAGGGAAGACTCGCCTGACGAAATAGAGCAGGGAGGAGGAGGTATTCCTCTTCGGGAAACACAGGACAAGCGGAAGCTGCATTACGTCCGATCATGACGCAACAAAGCGGTGCTGGGTCACCCCAGCAGTTCTGCCTGCGCTGGAACAATTATCAGACCAATCTGACCAACGTCTTCGATCAGCTCTTACAGAGCGAGAGCTTCGTGGACGTGACCCTGGCCTGCGACGGGCACAGCGTGAAAGCCCATAAAATGGTCCTGTCGGCCTGCAGCCCGTACTTTCAGGCGCTCTTCTTCGACAACCCTTGCCAGCATCCGATCGTCATCATGAAGGACATCAAGTGGCCGGAGCTCAAGGCCGCGGTCGAGTTCATGTACAAGGGCGAGATCAACGTCTCCCAGGAGCAGATCGGGCCGTTGCTCAAGGTCGCGGAGAGCCTCAAGATCCGCGGCCTTGCGGACGTCAATAGCGAGCAGGAGCTGACGTCCAGGCCGACTCTGGAGGAGGTCGCGACCGCGGCGTTGCAGCGGAAGAAGCGACGCCGGATGTCCGGCGATCGTTCGCCGTCCGGCAACAGCCCGGAGCGCGTCGGCTCCGGCAGCATCGGCCCCGACGATCAGGACGTGATTGGCAGCGGCATCGTGCCCGAGATTCATAGCATGGTGCCGTCGACGGCCAGCTCGACCCCAAGGTCCCTCGGCTCGCCCAGCACGCCCAGCATCTCCGTCACGCCGCAGATCAACCTGCAGGAACTTCCGGTCACGCTGCCCTTACCGCCACCCCCGCCGCCACCGCCGCAGGGACAGCAGAGCTCGCACTCCCTGTCGAGCCACCACGTGCCCGGCCACGTGACTTCCGGTCCGCACGCGCCCGTCAACCACCTGGGCGGCCACGGTCAGCAACTCAGCGTGCAGCAGCAGCAACAGCAACAACAGCAGCAGCAGCAGCAACAGCAGCATCATCAGCAGGGCGCCGGTGGTCAGCCCGGCGCCGACGAACTCGAGATCAAGCCCGGCATCGCGGAGATGATTCGGGAGGAGGAAAGGGTGAGTCGAGTTTTCTTTATCTACGATTCCTCCTTTTTTCCTTATCTCCGTAATGCGAGTGAAAATAGTTCATTACTAGAGAATTGATACGCCGCGTCTCGGTAATACGAGTGATAAGATAACGTTTCTTCGCGAAAATGATCGGGGAAATAATTAGCATTAGCACTCGGAACGTTATGTCGATATCGTTAAAAAATACCGGGCGAAAAGTGTTTTTCCGTAACGCGCGAAAGATTAAGTCAAATCCGTGTGTTAATAAATGTTAATAAATGATAAGAGATTCTCGAATGCGCGCATCAATGACCTTCGTTTTAAACGCGAAAAGAGCTTTTTATGCGTAATTGTTATATCACAGCATTATGCGTGTATCTGAAAATTATTGCTAAATGAATCTCTCTTTATCGGCAAGAGTGATACTATTTCTTGCGAGTAATCCTTTTTCTCGGGACGGACATTTGTCTTTGCACGCGTCGCTGCTAATATGTAATTTTCGATGCAAATTGTACAACAAGAATTCCGTAATTGCACGGAGTGTTGTAATTAGAAGATTTTTATGTTCACGATAACGTCGAATCACTCAGATATGTATTCCGATGCGCTGAATGTAACTTTCCTGTTTTTATGACGGCGAGAATATTACTTCTCTTCTTGTGCCGAAGATAAATTAGTAGAAATAATATGCAGGAAGAACAAAAAAAATCGTCAGAATTACACTTGCTTGTTAACGAGAATAGGATAAAAACAGCATTTCCGTCAGAAGTAACGTTAGATCTTCACGATTCAAGAAACGTATGTAAAAATGAATTTAAAAAAAATTGATTAGTGCTGCTAGATATAAATGTACTATATGATTAGCTCTGCTAGATATAAATGTACCAGGTGGAAAGCTTTTTACGAACTTCGGCCGGCGCCGATTTATGTGCCCGCGTGTAGATTAGAAATTTAAGAAATTGCATTTTTAATTAAAAATCACGATGCATCACTAACGTGCATTACAAGCCTAATTTTATTGACTGATTGACGTTAAATAAACGAGCGAATAAATTTCTGCGCCGGTAACTAGAAATTTGCGCACGCGCGTACATTTAAATTTATTCCAATATTGGATAGAATAAATATGAGTGAAGGGAGAAATATGTATATTCCAATATTTGCCTAACATTTAGAAATAATTCGGCAACGAGGGTGGGGTCAATTAAAAGTTTCCTCCGTGCCGGTTAGAAATGCGCCGCCGCGAATTGAAATAAGAAATGCGAAACGGCGTTTCTCTCTCTCTCTCTCTCCCGCGAGCGAACTCCTCGGTGAACTTCCTCTCTTTCGATTGAAACTTTCGCGCTCCACGAAGGGTGCAGGAGGGTGGGGGGGAGGGGGACGGTTAACCCGAAATCGCACGAACGCAATTTTCCCTCGACAGAAAACGAAGATGTTTCCCTCGACTGGTCGAGGCAACCGCAGCCGCGACCGGTCATTAACGAGAGCGTGTGATATGGTACGCGTTCCGCGCGCGCCTCGCGTCATTAGGGCACGCGTTCGTTCTAGTCGAAGGCAAACGAGCGGACAAACCCGGGGATCCTCGAGGAAGGCCAAATGGATTCTATATGACCGTTTGTCTACGGCAGTCCCGTATAATTGGCCGCTCTTTCGCGCGGTGACGGCACGGAAAAGTCGCGGCGTCGCACTCGAGACGCGGCGGCGGCGGCGCCAATTATACGAGGCGCGCGGGACGAAGTTTTCGCGCCGAAACCGTCCGCGCGTAGCCGACGGTCGCGCGGCCGCGCGATCGGGAGGGTGGACGAGCTCGGGTTATATAGGGTAGAGGTATGACGTTATATACGCGGGTGGGGAAAGAGAGAGGCCCCGCGCCGCGCGCTTTTCCGCGCGGACGGAGTGTGGAGGGCCATCCCAATTACCCGGCGATTGGCTTCGACGGTATGCGCTAATTGAGAGTATCAATGAACGTCAATGAGCGCAGTCAATATTTGGCCGGGGTGCATCCGGCCGAGCGTTTTGTAACGTTCTTTTTGTTAAAGCGGATGACAAATATTGACCGCGCTCGTTCGCGTTCGCGCGCGTACGTGACACAAACACGCGTGCACGCACGCACGCACGCACGCACGCAGGCACACGCACGGCCGCCGGTCACACATACACACGAGACACACACACGCGCGCGCGCGCGCGCCTGGGGTATCGACTGTTCTCGTTAATTACATCGGGACGACGGTGTCTCCTGCATTATTTATCGTCCGCTACCGGTGCAAGTTATTAAGCGTGCGGCTAGTTACAAGCCGTTTTGTAACTAGCACGACGACCGTCGGACATAGGGGGCAGCTAGGTTGCGCCGACTTAGGAGCGGTTAACTTCGCTTAACAAAATATATTCTCTCTAACCTTCTCCTCTCTCTCTCTCTCTCTCTCTCTCTCTCTCTCTCTTTCTTTCTGTACTTTCAGCAACCGGTGTTCACGTTTCACTCCCTTTCGCGTTACCGATCAGCGTGTATAATTACACCGCTTATTTGTATCAATAATACGATCAACCATTCGCTATATCTTGATTAAATTTTAAAGTGATCGTATATACGTATATCCCACTTGTAAGAACTGTTGTCTAGAAAATTCCATAGTCCGAAGATAATAAACACTCCGCATGCATTATTCAAGGTTTATCTTATCCAGATGTATAATACGTATCTATATTATAATTTACATCGACAGCTACGTTTTTACGCGCTGCTTATGTAACATAATCCGATAAGCAGGATAAAAGTCTTAATATATGAATATCTAACGTTACACGGAGATTTCTGTATGGGAGTATATCGAGTTTCCAAAGCTAATCGGAAAGTTAAATAAGTTTAATTATTATCCTACCCACGACGCTGAACGCGCGCGTGCGCGATCGACATGCGGTCGGATTTATTCGATCATGCGGACTGCTGTTCAGCTCGGCGCGCGTCTTACGTGCATCCGAAAAACGAATCCGAAGAACGAACGAACGACGAGAGTCTAGCGGATCTGCGATGAAACCTAAACCCTCGAACGTTTAAATCTTCATCCGGGGATTTTTGGGATCGCGGAAGTATCGGATGCGGAAGTTATACCGGCTCGCGGGGGGAGGAGGACATCACGGCGCGCGCCGCTTACGAGCGGTTTACGCGCGGAAAAGCACGGAACAAGACTGCACTTCGCGCGCGCGTCAGTCGAGTTCAATCTAGGAAATTAAAGTGAGCGACCGACTCGCGGGCCGCGGCATTATTTTTTTCCCCCCTCTCTCTCTCTCTCTCACTCTCTCGCTCTCTTCTCAGGGCGCGCACACACGTCGTCGGCCCCGCCGCACCGTGACGTAATCCGCTATACGTATATAATGGTTATAACATTCCGCGGAATTCCATTATGTTAACGCAACCACGTTCCAATTCTCCGGGTATGCCTGCCTGCCCTGCCCGACTGTATGCCTGTACGCGGCGTATATCGTAAATGCGCGCCGTTGTAGTATCGCAACTATTCCGCGGTGCCTTTCCGATTAAAATACCTAATTGATGCGGGCGAGAGAAGCCAATGGCGGACCCGGGGATCGCGGAATGCCAAGCCGCGAGAGCGGCTGCCAAGCACCGTCGACGTGAAATTTTTTTCTTAACGGGACGAATAAGAGACGGAGAAAGAGAGAAAGAAAAGAGGGAGAGAGAAAGAGAGAGGAGGATAATTATACAAGTAGATGAAATGAAATAAAATGTAATTATGCAGATTGCAGTAAATGGACGGAATGCGTCGCTATTTCTAAGAAAGAGAGGGAAAAGAGGGACAGAGAGGAATTTGTAGAAAAAAGAGAAAGCGAGATGTTTTCATTTATATAAACAGTATATCAGTATTAACGTGAAAGTTCTTGGATTAATTTATTCAAGATAAAGAGAAATGTAGAAGAAAAGAGAAGTTGAAAACCACGAAGAAAATGATGAAGTAAGCGGGGGGGGGGGCGGAGGGGGGAAGTGCGAGTGGTACACGAGATGCTTGTTAGATTGCTGACTTAAGCGCTCGAGAGAATTTTATTCTCCTCAAATCTAATACTAATAACTTTATATGTATATTCTCCTCCATTGAAGAGAGCGCGCGCGAAATTCTCGGCCGTTTGATGGGAGTCTCGCTCTCGATTTTGCATTCGTCAAGAAGAGCTGCTTCGTTGCCGAAGGTCGATTTCTCGATACCGCTGAAGTTATAAGAAGTATTTTCTTTTTTTTCTTTTTTTTTTTAAATAGAGAAGATTATTTATTTCTCTGAGAGGAGAGAAAGAGAGACGAAGAGATTTCTCACATAAAGTATGGAGTCTAAAGTCCATTATACACACACGGACACATCTCGATGATGAAATTACCATATAGGAATTTTATCGGATATCATGACCGAATTTCTGTTGATAATAACCGATTCTTTATTACGACGCATATATGTCGGCGAACATATGTTGACCAAACGCAGACCGCGTCGTCCACTTCTCTCCGCGCGGCGCACGGGAATTATCGTACGATGTATAACAGATTCGCTATGCAGTTATCACGACTGGTATTTCACTTGATAAGTTTCGATATTTTATTAGCCGTGCTTAGCCGTCCTGCACGGACGCACTTAACGCATATAACGTAACGAAAACGGCACTCTTCGCCTCTCTCTCTCTCTCGCTCTCAAAAGTAGTCTCGAGTCGACCTTCCGCGTCTCGTCGGAAATTAGGGAGTCAACATCAGGGAGCGTCCTGAGTTATGAATCGCCCGCCTCCGGCGGCGAAAACCGGAGACAACAATTATTTATATACTTCGGAACGGGCCCGAGGATCCACCGGCGGCGGCGGGGACTCACCGGCGACGTTACACGCGGTATTACGCGGCATCAATATAAATTATACTTCACCTGTCGCGGCTCGCGCGCGATGCCCCGCGATGCGTCCCCTACGACCGCTTAATCGTACCCTAATCGCGTCGATTAATCGTGGCAATCATTCACATACCAAAAAACAGGTTGTCCGCGCTTATTTATTTGCAAAAAAAAAGAACGTTATTAAGTAGCAATCAAATATTTTTCATCATCGATGGCGAAATATGTTGTTTTCATAATGAATACAGCCGTGTTCGATATAATTTGACACACTTGTAAATAAGTACCGAGTCTGAGTAAATCAATTCTGCCAAGAGCGCGTTAAGTAAATATTTTATTAAAGAGATACGAGAGAGCTCACTTTTTATTAGAAGTTACAAATGCATTTGTTCTGGAAATATCGTTCCTAAAATACATATATTATATCTGAGTACGAGAGAGATGTCAGATTTCAGGTTGGTAACGGAGAGGTAAATTTTAAAATAATAAAAACGTTAAAATAACGCAAATTATACGCGATGTCAACGTGATTTCTGAGAATGATCTAAAATGATCGCTCGAGGCTCCCGCGCTCCGTCGGAAATGGGCTACGAAAAGCGCGATCCTCGGCTAGGGTGACGACGTGGGAGAGAGAGGATAGGGAGGGCGGCGAGCGCATCCCCCCGAAAAGTGTACACAGTGTACAACACGAGAAGCAGCAAAGCGTGATCACGCGGTCGGTGGAGCTCGAAAGGGCGGGTCGAAAAAAATTTAATCTTCCCTCGCATTATCCTTTTTGGCAATAACGGCTTTACCTCCCGGATCGTCCTGCCCTGCCATCCTCGTCCTCCCGCACGCTCGCCCTTTCTCTCTCTCTCCCTCTTTCCATCCTTTCCTCTTTGTCTCTACTCTCTCGTATTCGGTGATTCGAGAGAGAGAGAGAGAGAGAGAGAGAGAGGCGAGGGAGACCGGCAGGAGAGAAACGGATCCCCGACGCGTCGGCAGAGAAAAAAGTCGTGAAACAGTAAATCGTGAATTGTAGTAACCGAGCGCCATTCATCCTGATACACCGGATGTGACTACATATTTCCTTCGTTCCGTTTAAATTAGTGTTTTTGCCCGGGGCGGCCTTGATTGTGTTTTCGCACGTCTCGCACGCTCTCGCGCCCGTGTGCAAGTGCATCTCGCCGACGCGGGCTCGCTCGCTCGCTCCCTCGCTCGGCGCGCGGTATGCATCCCGCGCACTCGTGTATCGGCAGGCGGCACACAATCGCGCGCGCGGACCTACCTACTCTCCCGTACTTTCTGCCCGTTTCGTTGTCTCCACTTGTCGGTGCTGCGCGGTATATATGTTCGTACGTGTGTACGTCCGACGATCGTAACGCGCGTAAAAACGGCGCGCACACGTCGATCGGTCGCGTTGATCAACGCGTAACGTAAGCGATACATCAGGAGAACGAGAGGATCGTCCCGACGGGATTCAAAATTGAAAAGCCCGCCCCCCGATGTATTAAAATGCGCGCGTTACATCCGCGGCCCATCCATCCCTCCCGCCCTGTCGTCTCCGTCCACCTCCTTTCGGCCCTCCGTCCAGAAAACGATCGCGATACGCGAGAGCGCGGGGGCCCCCGGGTATCGCTCGCGTCGCGCTCAGAAGTCGATTACCGTGCTGTCAGAAGTGATCGAGAGGGCCTCCACCCCTCTCGCGCTCTTTTGACACGTATCGACGTTGGCCCCGGTGATTTCGGGTCTCCGACACGCTCGCGTTTTACGTATTTCTGCTCTCGGGATACCGGAAGAGAGGACCGACTCGGAATGCTGCTCTTAATTTGATCAAGTGTCACGCTGTTAAAAAATGTATATCAAATTAAGGCCGACTTTTGAAATGAAAAATGAGATCTGATATTCGAGAACCAACTGACGATTGTTTGAAATTGAATTTCCTGTACTGTCTCTCTCTCTCTCTCTCTCTCTCTCCCTCTCTAGAGTTTCTTGCTGGATATTTCTAATTTAAAAATAATATGGATATACAGAGACACGAGGAAAATCACTTTCTTCTTCAAGGTGCGTTAAGATCAGTCGCTTAATTAGAATTAAAATTCGCTCGACGCGCGCTTCCACCGACGGATTCCTTATACCTATACGTTTCTCACGCGGCGCGACCCCGCGCTTACATTATACTTACAAAGTAGACGGCGAGACTCCCCGGCTCTCTCTCGGTCCAGTTCCCGGCTTTTTTTGCGCGCGAGTGCCCGCGCGTTGGCGCACGCAAGGCGCGCACACGCGATATACGCGGCCGGATTTTTCGTTCAGACCCGCGCGTTACGCGACACGCGGGGCTTATACGTGTATAATATAGCCGCGGGCCCCCCCGGCTGGCCCGACGGCTGGCGCTTTTTTTTTTTTTCGTCAGGGCACACGCCGTCGCTCTTCTCGGTCGACCGCGTCGTCCGTCGCAAGGACGAGTCGGAAGAAATTGATGGGTTAGCCCCACCGTATACGCAGCGCGGCGGCGGCTACGCTCATTCCGTCGGCTGCGCGAGATCTCGAAAGTAGGTAGATGAGGACCTACTCCACGGCCTCCACTCCTCTGTCCTCCGCTCCTCCCTGCCCCAGTGTGTATTACGTTAGCCACCCTTTCGCCGCTCGGCGGCGGAGGACTATTTTATAATAAGGGCCGGGGCTTCTCTCGCGTAATGGTATGTATTTTAAATATTTCGAAAATTGCCTTCCTAGGAAACTCCTCGCATAATGGCAATACTTGGAATATAATCCCGGGGTAACCGGACCGCATAGGCGCCCGAGCACTTAACTTCTCTCTCTCCGATCCCCCTCCCCCCCCTCAGCTCCCGCCACCGAGGGAGAAGCCTCTCTTTTCTCTTCTTCCTCCCCCCCTCCCCCCTTCTCTTTTTATATCTCTTCTCCAAACGATCCTTTTTCCCCCTTTTCCACTTTTGTTTTTTTTTTTCACTTCTCTCCTTCAACGTTAGCGCGCCGCGCCGCGCCGGGTGAGCGCGAGTAGTAGTTTCTTGCTGCTTTCCTTCCTTCGCTTCGGAAATCGTCTCGCGTCGGGTTAACCGGACTGGATATATTCCGTGGGATTTATCTCCGCGGCGCGGAATCATTGCCGACCGGGCGGCGGAGTATCGGGATAATACACGCGGAGGGTAGACAGACCTGAGTATCTCAGGACTCCGCGCGTTTTTCCTTTCGTCTGCGGATCTCCCTCTTTTCACGATCTCGCGGCTCTCACAACTTTGTAATACTCCACTTTAAATATTTTTCTAACGATTGCTCATGTTAAAATTCTCTATTAAAGTTTCCTTTAAAATGGAAGCGTATAGAATAATATTTTATTACCTTATGTTTCCACTGCCAGATTTTAATCTTGGACGATAAATGAATTTACAATTGAGCCCGTGTGCGTTTTTTAATTTCTACAAAAGGTCGTCGCGGAACACGTATAAAGCAATCCCCCCTTCTTAATTGCGTAGATTTTCTGAAACGCTCTGTACATACTGTCCTCTACTGAAGTATCCACCGGCTGTTTCGAATCTCGCTTGAGAGAGTATCTCGGTGCAATGCTCTCTCGCTGGTTTACCTGCGTCGAGTTTCTTTATGGTCCCTTATTTCCTACTTTGCGAAATGATACTCGCCTTCTATCCGTTTAGAAGCCAGGGATTTTCGCTGAAAACTGTGCATTCCCTGTTGTATCGTCTTTTAAACAATATTTCTGATGCGAGATAATTACGAATAACATACAGTCTTGACCGTATAATTATAAAGCAGCCTTAGTTCAGTGCATTTTCTTGGAAGAGGCGGTAGTAGAAGCCAAAGCAGACTATAGCAAAAACGTAAAAACGTAAAAATTATAAAAATAAAAAATTTTTTTCAATAAAACTGTCTTTCTTAAATTTATTCTTTGTTAAATATATACATACATTTACGTCAATTTGTCGGAGGTGCTTTATACTTATGGTCAAGGTTGCACATGCTACGTGTAATTATTATTTTTAACGCGAAATGCGATTCTGATTACCTTCCGCTTTTGTCGGGTATTATTTTTAATCTAAATGAGTTCAGAAACGAATAAAAAAAAAGAATGAATCACTCCGAGATAATATCTTCACCACACGAAACAATTGCGGATTAATTCCTATCGACAAAAAATGGCTGTCGGGGGTTATCGTTGGCCTAAGTGGAGCTCCGCACGGAAGCTATTGTACTTTCTCAGACACTTTAAGAAATTCGATAAATCGCCCCGTCCTTCCCCGGCGCCCGACGGAGAGATAGGAGTGGAGAGAGAAAGAGAGAGAGAGAGCGAAAGAGCGCGAGCGAGAGTCTCGTATCGACGTCGACGCTCCATTTTTCCGGAGCAGTGGTTACGTTAAGGCGCGCGCTGAAAATTGCAGAAGAATTCGCCTCGAGTGGCGGCTGCCGGAGTGCTCGGAAAGTCGAAAGTTACCCTGAAATCCGCGTCTGGTCTCGGTCCCGCGGGAGGCGGCGACCTTCGCGTCGCGGCGCGAGCACGGCGCGGCGTCGCTCGCTCGGGGAATGCATTATTTCGCGGCATGGAAATGCCCGCGGACCGGAAATCGATGTCGGATCGCTTAAGTAATACGTCGGGAAAACGCGACCGCTTAGCGTTCCTCGTATTTTCCCCCTCAACGACAACGACGACAAGCGTTTCAAGCGAAACCCCTGACGCTAAGGGGACGAAGACGAGGGGTAACCGCGGTTGGGGTTGGAGGAATCAAGTGGCGAGAAAGAGAGAGGGAGAGACAGGCGGTCTCAAAAAGGGAGGTGGAAAGATCCGCTCGTTGATAAAAATTGTATGCGCGTCCACCCGGAACGTCCGCGGAGCTATTCGTGAAACATTCAGCCGGACGACGGCTCGAAAGACGCTCCCGCCGACTTGAAATTCCCGCAACGACCTCTCCGTAATAATGTAACGACCGCGCGGCCGGTACCGTACGGCCGTCGGACCTCCACGCGCGCGCGCGCGCGCGCGCCTCGCTCTTTATCGTTTCAATTCCCCAGTCGCGATTTTCGCGACGGGACCGTGTCCCCGCTTTGAATTTCTGTGCCGGAACGCAGCATTTACAATATCGACATCCGGCAGGAAAGGACGGTTATATCAACCGATTTAGCTTGATATCGAATTAAAGAATAAAGAGACTCTCATGCTCGTCGTGCAGCGATTACATTTGACGCATTAAATATTTCGATGGCGGATGATTGAAATTAAATTATGCACAGCTTTGTGTGTGTGTTTTTTTTTTTTATAACGTATGCAATCGGAGATGATAAACACGCACTCTCCTGATATCCGAAGTCTCGGCGAAGTCTTGACGGACGTATCGCACGCCCCCGACGTTCGATCAGTTACGAGTTAATCTCGGAGCGGATCGCCGCCGCCGCTGAGAAAGACCGCGCGCGAGCACATTTATCGGGGATCGTTTAATGCCTCCCCCGATCTTTGCGCTTCTCCGCGAAATTCCACGGAACGGCCGGCCGGTTGCGTGCACCAGGTTCGATCAGAAATGCAGCACTCAGAGGTGCATCGCGTTTGTTCCTGATACTGCGACGGCGACGGCGGCGTAGGAAAGCAGAAGAGGGAGGGAGACGGGAGACTCTCTATCGTTCATCATCACGCACAGTCACCGTTCCGGAAAAATGGCGATTTTGTAAGCGAGTTCAGCGATTTCTTCCTTCAACTTCCTCTGCAGAATCGCTTTACATTATATTTTCGTCCAATTTCTTTTCGACAACTTAAACGTACAGCTCTAAACACGTGAACATTTCACGCGTATATTATCTCGGTATTTAGCTTTATGAAAACTCGCATGCAAATTTTAGCGAAAAGAAAAATCAAGGAGAGAGGAAATTTAATTTACCCTCCTGCCTGTATCCGACGAGGAACTCAGGACCGCGACCGACCGCTTCAGAATTTCAATAACGATCGGGATTGCGCCTATCCCGAAAGAGTTAAAAGCGTCTCATCCCTTATTTACATAACCCATTTTTGCAGCCTCGGCTTTCGAAACGACCAAATTTGCCAGGCGATCTAACTTTTACGATCGCATCCGATTTCCGAGCATACGCGACGCTCTCTTCCTCCCTCCTCTCCCTCCCTCCCTCTCTCTCTCTGTTTTTTTTCTTTTCGAGTTCCGTCGAACGAACGTTGCTGGGAACGCTATCGCGACGGCGGCGGCGGCGGGTCGGAGGGTCAGGACAAGGGGGGTGGGTTTCCATTTCGAAAATGCGGCGCGCAGGACGGATCTCCGTGCGATGTACGGCGGGCGACAGCTCCGGCGAGCTCGCGGTAAATCAGAAATTATCTTGCGTCGCGTCCGAGTCGCGCTGCCTTTTCCCATCGAAACGCGCATAAATACCGGACCAGAACGAGCGACAGAGACACGCCGGGGCGGCGAGGTAGCGCGAGGGGGAGAAAGGGAGGAGCGGTCCTTGCAGTCGCGGCGGCGGCGGCGGCAGCGGCGGCATGCACGATGCACCCGCTGTCGCGTGTACGTGTGCATATGCGGGACGACACGCGTGCACGTACGCGCGGCCGTGTGTATACTATGTGTCCCGGGAGCACCGTATGTGATACATGATTCAGCGAGGAATAATGCAGAAACATGGCAAGAATTTTATCTCGATACTTCGCCATTATTTATCCGAGAGAGAGGGAGAGAAAGAGAGAGAGAGAGATTCTCGCGATGTGAACAATTAGGGATTATCAAGTAATTGTGCAGTGTCTCAAAGAAGCTGTTCTCCGCTTTAATTTTAAAATGAATTTTATTTTAATAAAATTACTATCAAGCTGCACGAGTATACGCTTGATGCCGAAATTAAAAAACTTTCGCAACACGATCGGGGGGGAAAAAAAAACAATGCAAGAGCCAATCGGATCGTATTGGACGTAAAACGTATAACACGTTCGTGCTTGTAACGTTAAATTCTCGGCGATAAAAGCGGAGACTGCGAACAATCGTGTAAAAAAAAAATAAATTTCGTACAAAACATACTGCCTTATCGTTTCAACATATCGCAACTTTATCTTAATGAATAATTCCCGCGATAATGGCGATCTCTTAACAGCGCGCAACGATTCGCTTATACATTCATTACGTCTCCTCGCTCCGGTCGAGGACTGTTCTGCAGATTAAGATTTGCGACGCTCGTTCTCGGACACCCAGTACACAGACGCCCGCGCACGCATGCACGCACGCACGCACACACACATCCGCGCGCGCGTGGTTCCGTGCACGCGCACAGCCGCCCCCGCAGATATATATTAATACGTGGACTGCACGTCGCGGTACGCGCGACTTGATGGACGGATGACCGGACCATTCCGCAGATTGCTTCGCTCCCGATTCCGACCGGAAGGAGATTTATAACCTCTCGTCGTTATCTCTGCGCGAGCGAGCGAGCGAGCGGGCGGACGGGCGGGCTGGCGAGGCGAGAGAGCCGTGTGCGCGCCTCTCTACCTACCTACCTACCTACCTACCTCTGGCTCTTCGTTCCGCTCGATCAGCGATCGATCAGCGAGCCGCGCGGCGCGATCACTCGTCGTCCTTTGAACTCCTGCCAGAGCGCGGCGGGGACCGACGAGCGAGGGTGGAGGAGGAGGGTGGAGGTAGAGGCAGCGGAGGAGGAGAAGGAAAAAAAAGAGTTCACCCCCGGTAGATGATAGCGCGACGCGTTCGTAATTTTTTCTCCCGATCGTTTTCGGAGGCGGAGGGGGAAGGAGGGGAAGGGGGGCGCGGCGGTACCTTTTACGCGCGCGCGCGCGCGCGTAGCTAACTCTTCCGAACGGAATTCCGCCGCAACTGCCGGGCGTAGAGTTGTGAGCACTCCGGCGCGTATCGCTCGGCGGCACGCCGAAGAGTAAAATAAAATAAAAAAGAAATAAAAAAAAAGAGAAGACGGAAACAGGGAAAAAAAAGAGCGGAAAAAATATTGAGTAAGTAGGTAACGTCCGCGTATACGCTCAAGTTGGATACTTATCGGATAAATATAGGAATATTTCTTCCTCCGTTGCGCAACAGATGATAAGTAAATATTTCGTAAAATGCGACGTTGATAGCGATATTTGTTTGACACACGCCACGTTCCACAACCGCGCGCGTCGGAATTTTTTTATTTTAACGTTAAGAATATACTTTGTCTCAAGCGTTTTATTAATCGACGTATATAATTTGACAATTTGGAATTAAAAAATCGTAGTTTTTTGTTGTTTGAACGGTCTAATTACGAGGGGTCAACCACTATGGGAATCAGTGTACATTTTTTTTAGGAATACATTGCTGGTATTGCGGCAATACAATACTAGCAATACCTACCAATACATTAGCATTAATACTTGGCAGTATTGTGCAATAGGTGGCGCAGTACATGAGGTAATAGATAACAATATTACTGACAATACGAAAGCAATACAATAGCAATACTATAGCAATAAAGTGTGTTGTATAATAAAGTGTATTGCCATAATTGGCAATCACTGTACATACATTTTTTAAGTATAAGCGATTGACCCCTCGGTCTAATGGAACGAAACAAAACTTGGGGACATTTTTGGACAGAAAAAAGAGACATAATTATAAACTTTGTGCATGTAAAACAAATACACGATAAAGATAAATACATATGTATGTATAATAATAATAATGGAGTCACTCACCTCACGATCGTACCGCCCGCGCGCGCGATACGTCTCTCTCTCCCAGACCTCTCCTCCCCTCCCCCTTTTAAATTCCTTCGTTGCACTCGCACAATAGTCGCTCGCGAAAGTACGATTAATTGCGACGCGCGCTAATCACGCCGGAATGCGACGATCACACGGCACTTTGCACCGGCGCACTCCCGCCGTGCATGTGCTATTAATCGCGCACGGCGCGACTTTACTACGCGTCCGTCGCGTGAAGAACAACGCGGATCACATTTGCCTCACACTGGGCGGATTCGCCTCAATGCGAGCCTGTCGCTAATTAAACTCGCGCGATCTGATAATATCGCGAGTTAATTTTAATAATCGTAGGAAATGATCGTGAGACGGCCAAACACGAATATATCTATGTATATATACTTGTCGTCGACGTGGTTGGTAGGTACGATGACACGATATACAGTTGGCTGCCCCCGTCCGTCCCGAGAGAGTCCCCCGGTCTTCTCTCAAGCGCAAGTGTTTACATCCTACACAATACACACTCCATACGTGTTGCAAAGAATTCGGTTCGGTGAAACATTCAGCGTACAATAGAATAGGTCAAACATTCGGATTTTGCATTTCCGATTTTCTTTTTTTTTTCTTTACTTACGAAGTGTTTTCGTTACTCAAACTACTATTCGATCCAGTCATTTACTTCGCTCTGTTTACTTCAACGATTTTCAGACTACATATACAATACCAGCTAAATATTATTAAGATTTAAAAACTGCAGGTTTCTTCAGATTTATATCGTCTGAAATATAAACTAAATAGATTATATAAGAAATTTAATTATCCTAAAATGACAATTTTTTGTCTTCAAGAAAGCGAATATTTACAGTTATTTTTTCTAATCAACGAAAAAATTTGGATCGTGAATGCGCCTTGAAACCAACTGTATAAAACGAAACGAATAATTTATAAGATAAAAACAATGGCTTGTGTAAACGCAATGACCATATTTTTCTGCAGTTTTAGGTAAATAACTTTTAAACAAGTACGCGGATCTAAATAAACTTTTGCGTGAATGTTTAGCGGAGTTTCACTATAGTATATGTAAAAAAATTTTTCATTTAATTCGTAATGTGCTACCTTCCTCATCAAATTTGCAAATAAGTGCTACAAAAACGCGATTTTACACACGAATCAATGCAAAAGAGTCAAGTAACTTTTAAACTAATAAGCGAATATTTTTTGCTAAAATTTTATACAGATACTCAAACATAATAATAGAACAATCGGTAGAAATTTTTATATTTTCGGTAATGTTTTTTGAAATGTGACACGTACATCTTTTAGAACGATAAATCAGTTTTACTTAAATCCACGGAAAATCTAAAAGTGTGACGCGAAGTGTGTTCAGACCCGAGGTAAGGGAATATTTATCACCGGTAAATATGTAAGGACAATTTAAAATACCCACTCGCCTCGTCGCTCTCATACCTTCATCCAACGAGCGAGAGTCGCGCGAAATATTTGCTTCGACAGCCTCAATTAACGCTCGTGAATATTCTTAATCGCGGAAGTTAATTAATCGCATAACTTATGGGCTGATTATTCGTGAAGGAAAGTGTGATCGGCGTTTTGCGTCTTCTCCTGCTTCGAAACGCGATCGCAATTCGATTGGAATGGGGAGGGGGGAAGGAGGGCATCCGCGGGAATCGGTACCTGGATTCACAATTTCGTGGCTAGCTCGATTTAACCGAGGTTCAATTTGCTTTATCTTTTCCTAATCTAAAAATTAGAAAGAGATGAACAGCAAGTTAAACCGAGATTAAAGTTGATCTTACATTTGTGGAAAAACCGGGCCTAACGCGGCTCCGTTATACCTGCCGACTCACGAATCTCGCCGCGTGAATGACAACAACTCGGCGCACGGCAGCGTACCCGACGACGAGCGTCACAGAGGCTATACCAAAACAAACACCAAGGCCGTGTGTACACCAGACAAGTCTCATTTCCACGAAATATTTAACGTACTAAATAACGAAATAATTATAGCGATACCGAATATTCTTTCGCGTGTATTTTAATCCCTCAACTAGGGACGCGTGAGGTTTATGAGACTCCTGGTCATACTCACTTTGTAATTTCGATCAATTAATTGCGTCTCGTTTTTAGAAGGAAATCAAAATTTAAGTCTGCACAATTAATACTGAAATCATAAGTAAATATAACATTCCGTGTACAGAATGGGACACAATTGTGTTTATTTTTCTTTTTTTTTTCTTTCTAAAAATAGAAGAGTGCCTGACATTCCATGTTCACTGCTGTATAATGTCCACAGTTAAGCTAAATTAATTTCAACGAGGGAACTGGTTTTGTATATAATTTACATTTCTTTGGAAACCTG